AGTTTACTTGGAAATAATTGAGGTTTACATGGAAAACCTGTTAATTTGGCTTTATTTAATTCCGCCCAACATCTAGGGGTGGGGAAGGATTCTGAATGGACAGGGACACAAATGTATTTATCTACAGGAAGAAAACACACACTTCAGCTGCTACCGGAGTTCTTGCCATCTCAGTTTGTTGTTACACGTGGGGATGAGGAACAGTGATCCAAACCCAGACTCTTGAACCAGCGGGAGCAGCTCCGGTTCAGGCCCAGATCAGCTGGAGCAGGGAGTGATGTCAGGTGACTCGGCCTGACAAGCGTTTTCCCCGGGGAAAAGCCAAGAGCATTGAGGATGGACTGCTCAGAACAACATAACAAAGCAAACCGGATTCGCACTTCTCTCCGGATGTTTTGCACCACCTTGGTACCAGCCGAGCTGCTCGAGCACGGAGGAAAGGAGCAGCCCGCTCAGACCTGCAGTCCACAGCGCATTCAAATTTTCACCACACAGATCCCGTGCGTGGTCTTGCTCGCCTGCGTCTGGAACCAGCACATGGAGGACGGAGCCTATGGACCTATCTGACCAATGCGCCTGGAGGACACCACAAGACCAAGAACGGGCTGTGTGCTGTGGTTAGTGCTCCTATGTCTTTACTGGGAAACACCGGGAAACAGAGGTACAAGGATACAAACATTTTTCACCATATTGCAGTGTGTCATCGTGTCAGAGGAGTGATCCAATGTGCATGCACTGAACAATCAGAATGATTTTTTAAAGCGAAATAAACGTTTACATGATCATGGAATAAATAAATTCGGCTTTGAAACTGGAATAAACCACCGACTTAATTAGAATTTAAGTTTAATTCCAAGTAAGTTTAATTCTGAATAATCATTACTTTTTTGCTGAAAATCACCTAAACAGAACCATTGTTCACAGGCTCTTGGAAATGTGTTGTTTAATTCAATTTTATGTTTTTTCTTGAGTTGTCAGACAATCTTTTTTGACAGTATTTGCTAATGTGTGCATTGTGTCACCATTGTTACACCATTGCAACACTACATGTAGAGCACCCCTAGCGTGATGTCACTGCGAAGTATCAATAGACTAAACTAAAACTGCATTCAAATGTAAGTAGTATTTTCAATAGTATTTTTCTTGTGTATTTTTGACTTACTTAAGATATCCGCATCAGTGCTTCTACTTTTATTTATTTTGCTTACAATATTTTCAGACGGGTAACTGGACTTTTACTTGAGTACAACTTTTCCAGCTTCAGCACAATAAACCTGGCCAGTCTTCTATATAAATTCTTAGACATGAACATCTACTCCACCCTGTGCCACTGGATCCATAACTCTCCATGAGGACATAGAGACCTCAGACCCTTAGCACTGGGATCTCCCAAGGCTGTGTACTCTCCCCCTGGCTTTTCTCTTTATACACCAATAGCCTCACATCCACCCAGAGCTCAGTCAATTTTCAAGCACACAGGAGACACTACCATGGACTCATGACAAAAAATAGCAAACGTTTGTATTGAATGTTGCAGGCCAGAGGCCAGAAGATGTGATTTTTTTTTTTTTTTTTTTTTGCTACAGTGGGGTTTCTCAATGTGGAAACAGAAGAACAGTGTTTCCCATTAATACAGGAGACTGTGGTGGTCTAAAAATTCTACCCTTAGTCTAAAAGCAACCTCGATTGAATTGGATTAACAAAATTAGACTTTGTTGCTTATTGTACCATCATGAACTTTATTTATTTGTATTATTCATTGATTACATTTGTTTTCTGTATTTTTTATTTCTTGATTTTATTATTTAAGATTATTATTGTATTATTACCTGTGAAGACCTATGAATAATATTTTTTTTAAAAATCAAATAAATAAATATATTTCAAACAGCATTACCGTCAACACATACAGATAGAATCTCTTTTGACTGAATACATCCCAAACTCAAGGAAATCATAATACACTTCATCTGCAATCCCACACCAAAATCCCCCTGTACATCTCATCTGGACCCATCACCATCACTGACTCATTCAAGGTCCTGAGCACACACATCTCCAACTCACTTATATGGAGACTCCACTCAGACCACATCTACAAAAAGGCCAATCAGCCATTATTCTTCCTCCTTTTTCCTCCGACAGCTCCAAAAATTCAGAGTCTGAACCAACCTCCTACAGTTTTACACCTCCATCATTGAAAGCACCTTCTTCATAATTGTGTGGTATGGTAATTTGGATTTACACTTATGCAAAAAAAAAACAAACTCCAGTGTGTTGTCAAATCAAATTCTCCAAAATCATCAGCCACCTCTCCCATCCATAGATGTTAGATCACTGTCACATCTGAAAAGATTAAAAGACAGTTTCATAGGGATACTTTGGCCCCACTAGTATGTATTCATGTTGCTTTTGTTGCGGATGCAGTGTTCGTCCACACTAATCCAGTGGAAAACAGCTCCAGAGATGGAACGATCTGGTACCGCCAGCTCCCACGAATTCACCTGAGCACTGATCTGATCTTTTTCAGTGTGGACACCTGAAAAAGCTGATATGCTGACGTAGGTCGTTGCACCACAAAGTAATTCACCAAAACGCTAAGAGGCTAGGATATATGTCCATTTATATATACGTCTATGCGTATGACCCTCAAAATGCTCTGTCCCACTTTGTGATGTCATGAAGTGGTACTTTTCAAGTTAACAGTTACATTTTGCATTTTGTTTAGTAAATATTGGCAATTCCAGAGCTGAAATTATCCAAGTTATTCAAATGAAGGTGTATGGAGTTTAAAAATACAGTGCATCCTGTATTACCACATGACATCACAAGGTGCAACAGAGTGTTTTCTGTTTGAGACAAGAACTCAGCCTAAATATGCAGGATTTATGTGTTAAACATGTGTGAATGAAACAAGGTATGTTTTTGAGGAGGCAACATTATTACATGACTTAAGCCTTACAAGAGTCAACGTCAAATCCAAGAAATTGAATTAAAAATGAACATTTTATTTCTTGATGTTTACAAAAGTTCATATCAGTCCTACTGTCTTAGCACTGTCTTGACATATTAAATCCAGATACAATAGAACAGGAATACAGATTTTCATACACATTTCATTGTAGGATTTCCATCTTGTTAGTGGCACTAAATTATCATACACCATTTGCTAGGCTTCTCCGTAATCCACGAGGAGCTACAGTCCATCTGTTATATTTTAATATGAACCCGAAGAGTCTGCATTCTGTCACAAGCAGTTTCGCTCTGAGAGAATATATTATAATACGGCACATTCCCAGACTGTCCTTGCCTATCAACTTCTGATTCTGTTGAGAATGAAGTTGAGGAAGAAGAGTGGTGGAATCAGGCTCAGGGAGGGACAATTTAAACTTTTGTATTTTGTTAAAAGTTTTGAGAAATATGGTCATGAAAAAAAAAAAACTTGAATAGGTTTTTGTAGTTTTATACCTTCCAATACTTTTTACTTCATACTTGTATTTCTAAATAACAATAACTTGGCTGCTCTTCAAACTAAACTTAAAGGTGCACTGTATAACTCTTAGATAAATTTAATGCCATACTGTGGAACTTTCAAAACAAAGCAATAACATCTCTGTGGAGAGAATAAAGTTGGAGGAAGAATGTTACGTAGTGCACCTTTAAAGGTTACGTTTACAATAAAACGAATCACCATATCGGAAACGATTTGCTTCCAGACACGTCGTTTATGTGTCTGCAAGCCTTCCCTGTCCACACAGCTTTGAGCATATTTGTTTACATTTTAGACAAATAAAACTTAAAAACACATGGCTAATTTTCATAAAGTAAGCGCTTAAAAAACAGCTCGCTCCTTGTGCGCTGATGTGGTTCAGCTTCTGTTGGACTGAAGGACACGACTCAGTGGAATATATGTGTTCTTTCTGTGACAGAGGGGTGTTCTGCTAATGGTGAGTCTGTTCTGTGCAAGTAGTTCTAGCTACGCTGTTTCCCGTTAGTCTATGGTTTGTTTAAACTGTTTTCCGCAATAGCGTCACATGACCAATATCACAAACCCAGCGAATCAGGAAGGCACAAGTCACAGTGATGTAGTTCAATAAGGATGCAAATATAGCTCTTACATCAGCGTATCAAGGTTTTCAGGCGTCCACACAGTGCTGGATCAGATTCGTACTCAGATGAATTTATGGGAGCTGGCAGCACCAGATAGTTCCGTCTCTGGAGCCATTTTCCATCAGATTAGTGCGGATGAACACTGCATCTGCAACGAAAATGACTCTGATAGGTACTAGTATGGATGGGGCCATAGTCATCTTTAAAATGTAGAAAATAGAAGTAGTTAACTTTTATCACTTTGCAGAGGTCCAAAGTTATTCGTCACTTACCTTATATATTCCGAGCTTCCAAATTATTCACCGTGGTAAGTTTATAAGTGCTTTTCACGTCTTTCAGAGACCAGTGCGGAGTTTGGCCATCATGGTACTAGCATGCTAATGTGAACTTCCTGATACTGGACAATAAAATACTTTCTAATTAGAGATAGACAATATACAGTTGACTTATTTTGAACTAAAGAGCTGCTTATACAATATATCTGTAATGGGGCAAGACAAATTTGGCTCAAATGCATCGGTTCAAATAAAATTGGGTACAGGCTCTTTAATAGTATAAATTCAAAAAAATATGCGTATTGACAAAGTGAAAAGACTTTGTACATTATCTTAACATGTTGTTTAGTTTTATTGTAAATTTGTAATTTTTAAATTTAAATATTTTCATCAAATAAATCTTGAGAAATGATTCGGATTCTTCACAACTTTTCCTGTTACTCCCATTACTACAATCATCATAAATCAGAAATAGCCTAAAATTTCCCTTATTGTAAAAAAGGGAAAATTTCGGTGAAGCCTGATGAGGTCACAACTTCCCCATGGTTAGGTAAGAGCTGTCCGGAACTGTCTGTGTCTGTGCGCGATGAGGCAACACCACGCGTCCACAGTATAAAACCACACACTCTCCTCTCTCCAGCTCCAGTCGGGACAAGCACTCTGAGCCCAACTCACAACCCACCAGACCCTCTCCATCTGCGAATCAGACGGACAGACTACGGGGTGGTTGTACACCCATGACAAGAGCCCAGGCTAATCTCTCCCGGATCACTTTGTAACCCGCCGCCAAGATGAGGGCATTCAGCATTGCAGTTGCAGTGACACTCGTGCTGGCCTTTGTTTGCTTTGTGGAGGCACTTCCTTTCGCTGGGGTGAGAACTGAAAAGCAGCTCTAGTTTTCGTTAGCCTGGTGTTAGCTTGTATTTAGCGCTTCGTGTGCTAACTGTTGCTAATTTTTTAACAGGTGCCTGAGCCGGAGGAAGCAGGGAGCAATGACACTCCAGTCGCGGCGTATCCTGACATGTTGGCGCAGTCGTTAATGGTATGTGCAATTGCCTGGGTCTGTTTGGCCAGTCTGCATTAGCATAGGGTGACCAGATGTCAGTAATTACATATTTTCAAGCCCTGTGTCCCATGCCCCAGCAGATTTATCCAAAGCCAATTCCAGTTCACGGTATCTGTTTTAGCTTGGTTTACATGGACGCCTGGCACCCGTCACCCTTTAGTTGGTTATACTACCACGAAAGGGAGTCTAAAATGAGTTGGAAGTATTCATATTTGACCACCAGATCAATTTGGCTCAGTTTTGCGTGGAAAATTTCCCAGTTTTAACCAATCTCATACCCGCCAACAGTAAAGAGGAGAATATATTGTAATTTGTTGAGCTAAAACACAGAAAACTGTGCATGAAAATGACCATAAAGCAAAAAAAAAAAGTGTTAGTACCTATAAAAGTTCCTAAGATTACATGCAGACCCACAAGTGAGTCGAAAATGGACAATTTTATCTTATTTACACCAACCATCCCAACCAAGGTGTTCCAGTTTTTAATTTTTTGGGAATTTCTGGTCACCCTACATGGAAAAATCTTAGTGGTGATGCAACTTCCAATGCTTACCTTACATTGTTTTTAATTAAATGTTTTCTTATTTTTTTCTCAGATGCCGGGACACGTTCGTGAGAAACGCCAGAGCCACCTGTCCATGTGCCGCTGGTGTTGTAACTGCTGCCGTGGCAACAAGGGCTGTGGCCCCTGCTGCAAGTTCTGACCATGTGCACTTTATGAAGAATGAGCTTAGGTCCAGTTTGTGATTTGTTTGTAATATTTAGTTGTAGTTATGACACGTAATGAGAAATATACACTTTTTTGTATTTATTTTTGTATGTAACATTTATGTTAAAGAATAAAATTGTAAAGAATTGTATATTGTGTTTCTTTTGTCTGTGCAGTTTATACTTTAGTAATCAGAAGCTGAAAAGTACCAGATTTCTAGACCTTAAATTCTTTGACATTTGGCTCATTGTAATATTTTCAAGTGCATTTGGTAGAAGGGCCAATATCTGTTTCTCTTTTTTTTAATATAGAGCAGCTTTTGGTCATAAGAAGTAGTAACATTGTACTAGTATGTCTAACCAAAACTTCTGAAGTACTCAAAAAGCCACCAGAAAATTTGACTTGATTTCTAGACCACACATCCGTTGACATTTTTTCATTGTAATATTTTCAAGTGGTTTTGGTAGAAGGGCTAAATATCTCTGTTTTGTTGTTGTTGTTTTTTTAAATATATAGATTTATAGATAGTACTTAATGGTATAAAATGACTGCTCACTAACTGCCTCGTGTCTTGTGTACAAGTGTCCATTAGCAGTGACTCCCTTTAGTTACCCTATTGGTCTGTTTTTCAAAAAGGTCAAGCTCACATATTACTTAATTTGGTCTCATGCAGTGAAGCGCTGCATGCAAAATTGTACAAATCACTGTACTGTGCAGTGTGCGTATAGCCGCTGTCCACATGAAACACGTTATCTGAACATGTACTAGAATAACAGTCAAGGCCATAGATATCCACTGTGTTGAATTTGGGGCATGCAAAAGGGCAATGAGTTAAACATTGGATAGCAGCTTTACATAGCACTGTGACATCTGGTGGTCAAATACTTAATGCTCTTTTTTTTTTTTTTTTTAATCTTTTGATGGTAGTATAAGTTGTAATGATGTGTGAATAGAAACCAACTAAAGGGTGAGGGTACCAAGATTCCATGTAAACCAAGATGAAAATCAATAGATACTATGAACTGGTAATATATTCGCAAAGGGCTGAAAAAACCTGAGAGAAAAAAAAATCTGGTGAAAGTGTTTGAACTTGAAGTTCTGAAACAATGAGGAGCCTCTCAGACTTCTGGCCAAGTGAGGCCATATGTGACTTTTTAGCACTAAAGAGAAGAACTTTCTAAACATGTTGACTTCTCAGTGAGTGAAGGACACAAAACACTATGAGTTAGCTTTGGTGCTGGGTGGAGTCATAGACTGTATATATTAAATGGATATACTGTAGCTAATGTGCTAGTCGCTGCGTTCCAAACAGGAAGTGAGCATGGGGGCTCTTCCGGCTCCTACTGTCCCTGGCTCCCATTGACTTACATTGGCATATTGTGGCCCCTTTCTCTGTAATTGATGCTGTGAGCATCGTCAGTTTGGTCATAAAATGTTCGTATTAACCCGCTCTACATGATCCTGTTTTGTGTTGTTTTGTCCTTCAGAAAAATCCTATTCATAATATTGAGCCTGGCTCCAAATTCACCTCTGTAACCGTTAGCATTGCGAGCTTCATTTGAGTAGAGACAGACGCTGTGGGTGACGTCACACTCACTTAGTCCACTTTTTTACAGTCTATGGGTGGAGAGGTGAAGATTTTCCTAATCCAAGTCTTGCTCAAATTTTAGCCAAGTCCCTATATCAGAGTCTGTGAATGTCTTTAATAGAATCTGACTTTTTATTGCGAATCTGACTTTTTTGAAGACTGAAAGATGAGTCAAATGCAGAGGACAAATTTCCATATGAGTAGGCTACCTTACAACCTTAAGGCTTGTGGTCATCCCAGCCTGTCAAAGTCTGATCTCGTTAGATCTCAGAAGATCTGACCGGACTTGGTTTGTACTTGGGAGACCACTTGGGAAAATCAGGTGCCACATTGGGGTGCCAGTGGCAAAGACCATTGTTGTGTCCTTAGGCAAGGCTCTTCACCCACATTGCCTTGTGGTGTGTGCATGAGGATGGGCGAAGGGGCCAATGGCTTAAACTGACAGCCTTACTTCCGTCAGTCTGCCTCAGGGCAGTTGTGGCTACAATAGTAGCTTACCATCACCAAGTGTGGAGTGAATGAATAATGTAGAGTGAAGAGCTCTGGGTGTCTTGAAAGGTGCTATATAAATCCAATTAATAATTAATTAATTATTAATTAAGCTGCCTCTTCCTCTTTAATGCTGTACCAAAAGCAAATTCCACCAAACTGCATGACCATTAATAAAGATTCATTTATTCCTTATTTTTAAAATCAAGTCCAGTTTCAGTTTTTATAATCTAAACATGACTCAAAATCCAACCCTTTTAAGAACAGTTTTCTTATTAAATTATTAACTGTCTCTCTCTGTGGGGCCTTATTAGAATTCACATTTCACATAGCCTGAACATAAACCATAATTTCTAAAAGCATACAGTCAATCATAGTCCTCTAGCGCAGTGTTTCTCAAACTGTGGTAGGCGTGTGTGTATAGCTGATGGTACGCCAGTTCCTTCAGGTGGCACACAAGACCTTCTACAGTTCTAATATTTGTTATGTCTTGAAACTGTTTTTCTATGCATGTTTGAAATAAACAACATTTGCCTAGTTTTGTCCATAGTTTAGCCTTTGTTTAGGAATAGTACTATTATAGACTATCTAATTAAACTGGGAAAGCCAAATCTTTTCTTAGGTTGTACTTTGGTTTGGTTTGGTTTGGTACTTAGTTTGAGAACTATTCAAGTCAGCACATTCAGAAACATATAAGTCAGAGTCAAGATCCAAATCATTCTGTTCTAGTGAGAGGACTTTCAGCTCCTTTATGATATCCAAATCTTTTGGAATCCGAATTAATGTACATTTTATGATGATTATTTATGTTTTGATTGTTTGCATTGTGATTTAAATGTATTTCTATAAAGCACTTTTAATTAATTTGTGTACGAATTGTACTATACAAATAAACTTGCCTTGTCTTGCCTAAAAATTATAAGGCAATGCAAGTGTATTTGTTAAAATCACAATACAAACAATGAAAACATAAATAATCATCATAAAACGTACAATAAAAGAGAAGAATGTGGAATATTTTCACTCGAATTAAACACTGTCAGAGCAGAGGCCTGTCTCGCATTTAAGAACAAACTAATCACAGACAGAAATGACTCAGGTTAAGATTTATTTATAATGGCGCAAACTGAGAGTGGGAGTGTGTTTAGTCTTTGAAATTATGCATAATCCAAATACAATGTTGCATTACAATAATAATAATTGAAAAACTAACTGTAATTATGATGTCAAATGTTTTCTGGGGGTTTTTTTGTGCACAAAGCTCTCACTAGTGTTGTCTGCTCTGCTTCTGTGCTGATTCTTTTGTTGGTTCAATGTAAATTGGAAAAATACATGAAAATTTCTAAGAAAAAGATTTGGTCCTTTTAAAAATGAGATCTGGATCCAACCGCTCACGTTCAAAAGAGTCAATTCATTCTCAAACGTCACATCTCTGTTATGTTCTAATCACTTGAGTGCAATGATAACATTTGAATTAGCATCTATGCACTTCCCTAGTCCTTACTGAGCTGCATCCACAGACTGTATATACAGTATAAATGGATATAGCTAACCTGCTAGTTGCAACATTCCAAATGGGAAGTGAGCATGGGGGCGCTTCTGGCTCCATCCACTCTGGCTTCAAGTGGCTTTACATTGAAAAAGTATTGCCTCTTTCTCTAAAACTACTACAGTGATCATCATTTTGGTTTTAAAATGTTCGTATTAACCTGCTCTACATGATCCTGGTGTTTTTATTTTGGTATTTTGTCCATACGAGTTCCTCTTTCTGTTTGTTTACTTGTCTTCAAGTTTGCTTATGTAACTGCTAGACTCTGTGACCTGCATTTTTTATTGCATATATACATACATACAAATTATTTTAAACATACATAAATGCAAACATATGAACAGTGCACACAAATATTACAAGACATGGAGGTAATTACTAGCCAGGCTGGCGCCACCCAGTGGCTCCGCTCAATTCCATTTCTCTCCAGCGACTAGGTCAGGAATCAGAATATACTAGACGGTTTGCAAAAACCTCAAAAGTATGAGTTCAGGCACCAGCCAATCAGTGAAGAGCCATATATTCTGTGTTGGCAACGATTCCAGAGATCGAGGATTTAAAGCTGAAATAAAGAGAATGTTTGGTGAATTTTATCAAGGGGAAAGACGTTATTGTCCTTCTTCCTACAGGATCTGGGAAAAGCTTAATATACCAGTTAGCCTCATTAGCGATGCATTACATACGTCACAAGCAAATAGCAGTGATTGGTTAAATGAAAAAAAGCATCCGTCTACCATCAAGTGAACAAATTCTAACACTGCGAGGTCAGATGGTTTCTACAGTATGAAGTGAAACCGGCTGGGTAGGTAGGTAGGTAGGTCGATTCAGAATCAAGTTTTTTCGAAGGATTTCTAATGATTTAAAACAATATTTTAGATTACGTTTGAACTGAAAGGTATTAGGATTGGTATTATTCCAACAATGAATATGTAAGTGTAATATGTATGTTTTCTTATCAAAATTGTTAATAAATAAATAAAATATTCCTTTTCCCAAGCTTAGTTCCCACACCACACAAAGATTTAGAAAGGTCTGTGAGCTTCAGCTGACTGGAGCCGAACGCAATGGGTGATGTCACACTCATTTAGTCGACTTCCTTATACACAGTCTGTTGCTGCGTCGTACATGTACGCAGTAACACATTATAAACATGCACATACACACAACAGAATGACCTTCCAGCTTTACTCACAAGTGCTTTACCCATCTCAGCTGAACTAAAAGATAAATATAACTCATTTTAAAACCATATTGCCCTATCATTCATATTACGCTAATTGACAATAGCTCATAAAGATAGCCACTTAGCTCAGAAAGGGTGATTACGTTTTTGGAAGGACATTTAACAATACAGTCATTACCGCACAGAAATATAAGCCATGAATACGTATATATCTTGAATTAATAAACTAATCCTTGTACTAAACCGAACGCTGAAACATGGAAATCATATCTGATATCCTAAACTACCAATCAAACAATTCCCAGCATTTGTAGCACAGCCCAGGCACAAATGAACACAGGA